AATCCAGTAGACCTGAAAGACAGTTCTTGCTGTGAGAGAACTCAGCAGGTATCACATCCAAATAGCAGTCCTGAGTGAAATAAGGCAAGCAAATGAAGGCCAGATTACTGAAGTCAGAGCTGGAAACGTGTTTTTTCTTGAATGGTTACAGTGAAGGGGAGCACCATAAAGCTGGTATTGGTTTTGCAATCAAAACTAAACTAGTCAACAAGTTTGTATGCCTACCAAAAGGAGTGAACAATAGACTTATGACAATGAGGTTGCCATCAGTGCATATGCCCCCACCATGACAAACCCTGATGAGGTCAAAGAAAAATCTTATGAAGACCTAGAGAGCCTCATCATCAATGTGCCAAAAGAGGGCAAGCTTATAATTCTGGGTGATTTTAGTAGTAGTGACTTTAGAGTAGGCACAGACTACCAGACATGGCAGGGAGTCCTTGGGAGGAATGACGTCAGAAACCGCAACAGCACCAGTCACTTACTATTGAAGACTTGTACATGTCATGATCTTCTTATCACCAACACTGTCTTCCATTTACCTAAATGCAATAAAACTTCATGGATGCACCCTTGCAGCAAACATTGGCATTTAATAGACTATGTCATTGTAAGGAGAAGAGACAGACAAGATGTGAGAGTGATGAAGGTGATACACAGAGTGCTGAGCTGACCATAGACTTATCCTCTCCAAGCTAAATATTTGCATTCAACAAAAGTGGCAGCTCCAAGGCAAAATTACTACCAGAAGACATAATGTCTACAGATTAGAGTGCTTCTCCAAGTGGGAACAATTCATTGCTAACTTGGAGGAAAAACTGAGCCAACATATAGTTGGCAACAATGGAGTAGAAGAGGAGTGGGCAGCTTTCAGAGATTTGGGGTATAGCACAGCATTTACTCATCTGGACCAAAACACTTGCAAACATCAAGACTGGTTTGATGAAAATTATGGGGAAATTCAGAAGCCATTAAATGAAAAATGAGAATTCCACAGGGTTTATTGACAAGATAGTTCATCCATCTTTAAGAAGGTGGTGTTTAATTCCATCAAAAGTAAAGTACAAGCAAAGCTTAGAGAAATGCAGGATTCTTGGCTCAGTAAGAAGGCAGACGAAGTTCAGTTTTACAATGATAGTAACAGTTCAAAGCATTTTTATGATGCCTTAAAGGCTATTTATGGGTTAAAGACCTATGGTGCATTTCAACTACTCAGTGCTGATGGAGCCACATTGATTGGTGATAAAGTCATGATCCTGGAGACATGGGTTGAACACTTCCACAATGTTCTCAATAGACCATCATCAATCAATGCTGAAGCCACTGACTGTATACCTCAGGGAGAAGTCAACTCCTCTCAAGCCAAATTTCCAACTGAAGAAATTTTGAATGCCATTAGCATCCTCTCATATGGTAAAGTGCCTGGTGCTGACCCTATTCCAACTGAGATTTGCAAAGCAGAGGGTTCACTCGTACCAAAAAAGGGTCTACTCCCATAAAAGCTGACTGACATTTTCTGTGTTATATGGCAAGAGGAAGTTATTCCCCTGGAGTTCAAGGATGGTTCCATTGTCCATCTCTGTAAAGGTAAAGGAAATAGATTGTCCTGCGACAATTGCAGGGAAGTCTTGCAGGATTCTTGCCAGAATCCTCCGTAATAGGCTAATCCTTTACCTGGAAGATGGTCATCTACCTGAGAGACAGTATGGCTTCAGAAAGGGCTGAGGAACAGTTGGTACAGTATTTGCTACCTGACAACTCCAAGAGGAATGGCAGGAGGAGAACAGAGGTCTGTACACAGTTGGTCAATCTGACCAAGGCCTGTGATACTGTCAGTTGCAAGGGCTTGTGTCAAAATTTGGTTACTCAGGGTTCATCAGTATTGTATATCAATTTCATGACGGCATGTTTGCCCATGTTCTGCATAATGGATGAGGCTCTAGCTTTTTCCCAGTCACTGATGGAGTGAAGCAAGGCTGTGTACTTGCTTCCATGTTTTTTAGCATGATTTTTTCAGCAATGTTGTTAGAAGCCTTCAACAAGAATGAAAACAACATCAAGGCCAGCTATAGCACTGATGGTAAACAATTTAACTTGAAAAGGCTACAAGCCAAGACTAAAGTAGAGGGAGAGTTGGCACATGATTTTCTGTTTGCAGATGATTGTGCACTCAATGTAGCCTCTGGATCTGAGATACAACAGAGTGTGGATCGATTCTCTGCTACTGGTGCTAATTTTGGCCTAATAATTAACCCTAAGAAAACATAGGTGCTCCACTAGCCAGCACCACACCATCCATACATGGAACCGTTGGTTATAGAAAATGGAGAAGTTTTCAATACTGTGGATAAGTGCATTCACCTTGGCAGTACACTTTCTAGGGATGTACATATTGGTAATGAGGTTGATACATTCATTGCTAGAGCTAGCTCAGTGTTCGGGAGGCTCCAAAGGAAAGTGTAAGAGAGAAGTATTAGACTTATCTACAAAATTGAAGGTCTACAAAGCTGTTGTGTTGACCTCATTGTTGCATGCATGTGAAACCTGGACAGTCTACCAGCACCATGCCAGGAAACTTCATCTTAGATTACATTCCTTGTAAGTTTGGGTTGGGACTGACCAAGACTGAGGAGTGTTAATTCAATCTAATTATTAGTAAAGTCCTTCAAGAGACTGAACTTTGAAATAAGGATTATGGAAAAAGGGGGAACTCTGGATCTCCCTTAATCATCGGTTATTAATAATAATTTCTCTCAATAGTACCACATACATTTGTTTACATGTTATGTTCCCCCTTCCCCCTAGTAGAATATAATCTTCATGAGAGCAGGAACCATTCTTCATTTTTGTCTTAGTATCCTCAATGCCTACCATAGTGTTTTACACATAATAGGTTATTAATAAATGCTTGTTGGATTGGAAAGAATTTAATATGATAGAACCTCTCAGGGTTTTCTGTGTCAGCTACAAAAATAAAACAAAACATGAATATTTTAAAGGGATTTACCGGGAAATTGTATTGTTTACATTTGCAGTGGGTTAGTGAGAGAAAAATTCTGTGACCAGAAAGAACAAATGATGGCAATTGTCATGTCATTTCCTAGGGCTGTAATACTTTTAAAAAGAAGGTAATTTGGAGAACCAGTTAGGATTCAGAAAGGAGTGGAGCTGAGATGAAAAGAAGGGGAAGAATTTAATCTGTTAAGTTCTCCAAGACCTATTTGTCCCAAATAGCCTACCCCTACCTTATTCATTTATATATTGGGGCCTGCCTGTAACTTTTTCTAAGGTATCTTTTTTAAATGTCACCTAAAATTATAAGTGAGGAGGGGCAGCTAGGTGGCACAGTGGATAGAGCACCATTCAAATCTTCAAATCCGTTCTCAGACATGTAACATTCACTAGCTGTGTGACCCTGGGCAAGTCACTTAACCCCATTGCCTAGCAAAAAAACAAAAACAACAAAAAAAACCCACCAAAAATAAAATTATAGGTGACTAAGACATTATTGGTGGAGTCACATGTGAATTGGTCCAATTATTCTGCTAAAAAAAAAAAAGAAATTGTAATAAAAACTGACTAAAATGTCCATAGTCTTTCATCCAGAGATCCTGCTCTTAGGCATTTACCCCCAAGGAAGTGAGAGGAAAAAAAAGTCCCATATGCACCAAACTTTTCACAGCAGCACTTTTTGTGGTAGCAAAGAAATGGAAACAAAGTAGGTGCCCATTGATTGGGAATAGCTAGATAATTTATAGTACACGAATATAACAGAATTTTAATGCAGAATTTTAGATAGAATAAAATATAATTTTAATTTTAATGTAATAGAATTTTAAGAAACTATGAATAAAGATTCATGGGAAATCTTATATTAATTTATGCAAAACAAAGTAGACAGAGTCAAGAAGCAATGCACAGGATGACAACAGTGTAAGTGGAAAGAGCAATAAATGGTAAATAAATGCTGTGTAATTATAATGATCAAGCTTGACCCCAGAGAAGAATTTAGAAAACGCTCATTCCACCCTTTACTGGAAAGGTATGTTAAAAATTCCACTTCCAGATGCGATTGATGTATTTATTAGTTTTGCTGTCCCCCCATTTACGTTTCCTACCCCCTTAAGCACCTTCCCAAATGATAGATTTTTCACAAATAATTTTTTTTAAAAAATCCTTCTTGAACATCCTTCTTAACCTCGTCTTCCAGTTCCCCTGCGGCCCCCAAATCGGGTTGATTGAAGCGATGGTAACAATCTTCTCTTGTAAACAAATTAAGAATCACTCAGGGAGAGAAGATGGCAAGATCCCCGTTTCCTTTGCCGGTATCTTTCAACTGACACCCCGCCCTGTCATTGTAGGCAGTGAAAGGGGGCAGGTTTAGAGGAGGGATTAACATGAATTGAGAACAGCTAAAGAGGTAAAGAAAAAAGAACCGGGCCTTTCACGGTCCAAGTCACGAAATTATATGAATGAGTCAGTCAGTGAGCATTTATTAAGTTCTTACCATGTGACGCATAATGTTTGCAAAGAAAGGCAGAAACAGTCCTTGCCCTCAAGGAATTTACAATTCAATGGGAGAGACAACATGCAACAATTGTGTATATTTGCAAAATATATACAGGGTATGTGGGGTAATTTCAGAGGTGAGTGAGGAGGAAGGGAAAGCCAGGAAAGTCCTCTTGCAAGAAGGTGGAATTTGCACTGAGTCTTGAAAGAAGCCAAGAGTCTGAGTGTGCTCATCATTTTTAGCCACACCACAAATCTATCCCATTGCTGCTGGAATCTCTCAGGGGTAAGCAGGCGAAAAGCGCGTGGGACGCCGACGCGGACGGAATTAATCAGGTGTAAGAATGCGGAACAAGAAAAGACATTAACTATCCGCGCAGCCCTGGGCAAGCCACTTAAGTTTTCGGAGCGTCAGTTTGCTCATCCGCATGATGAAAGGGGTTGAGACCTTCTAACAATCTAAGCCCGCGCATAGCTCTGCCAGCTGCCCGAGGAAGCGTTACTAGACAAACCAGGCTCCAGCGCCTATGCCCCTACCCGGGGCACATTGCATGCTGGGAGATGTAGTCTGGAAGAGATAGAGCGTGTTGACGTTGTCAGGCCGATCAACGTAACACGTTCCTACTCCTGCACGTCCCCCTTCAATTCCTACTCCCTTCTAAGCCTCCGTCCAGTTCTCCCTCTCCCTCTACCTCTGCTCAGCCTCCGAACCCGGAGAACTTTTTACGACACACGGGATCCCAGAGTCCTCCCCGGCGCCGGCTCGCTTTTCGGCAGAGTGATGTGGACGTCAACAGCAATGGCGGAAGGAGAGGAGGCATCGCCGCCGCCAACGTCGGATAGCGACAGCTGGTGAGTGAGACCGGGGGCGCGGCTGGCGCCCACCCTTTCCCGGCTCCGCTCCGGCGCCCGCCGTAGCCCTGAGGCGCCGAGATGGCGCGGGGGGATCTGCGGAGACGCTGTCCCCGCGGACCCGAGAGCCGCGCCCCGCCCCTGTTCCTTCTGCCTCTGGTTCCTTCTTCCCGGCCGGGGTGGGCTCGGGAGGAAGTGGAGGAGACGGGGAGCGGCTTCCCCGACCACGGGGAGGGGACCCTCGATCCCGGGGATTGGGATGCCCTTCATCCCGCTGGAAGGGCCATCCGCCGACCCCTGTGGTAGGGACTTCCCCCCACCACTTTTGCAATTGGCTCTGTCTGACTCTCCCTCCCCCCCGGGAAGTGGCTCCCCTCGAACCCCTTGGAAGTGGCTTCCCCTCCGACCCCCTGGAAGTGGCTTCCCCTCCGACCCCTTGGAAGTGGCTTCCCCTCCGACCCCCTGGAAGTGGCTTCCCCTCCAACCCCCTGGAAGTGGCTCCCCTCCGGCCTCAGAGTAGCTCTCAACCCCCGTGGAAGTGGGTGTGTCATTTTCTTCTGCCTGCCCTTTCCCCCTTATAGAAGTGTCCGGGCTGTGTTGGAGGAGGATCCCAGGACGGGTGGAGCTAGAAATGGGATATCGAGTGGAAATGTTTTCAGGGTCCTGTTTTGGAGGGTTCCAAATCTCTGCTGATGGTTGGGGGGCGGGATGGGGGACGGGACGGCACGGCTGCTATTGAAACCTGAACTGTGCCCCCACCCCGGCCTCTCCTTCGGTGCTGAGTTATCTCTGTTTGAGAAAAAGGAACTTGTCCCTCTTGCACTGTTAGGAGGTGTAGTGTGTAGTGGAACACCAGTAGCTGAACCCCAAAGGTAAATACTTCAGCCTTGCCTGTCTTCGCTGGGCTTAGTCCAGTTTCTTTTCACTCTTTACCTTCCAACCCGATAGTTTTTTTTATCAGCTTGAACCACACAGAAGTGAATAAGATATGTGGATGTGTGTATGTCAGATCTATCTTATGTTTAGATGATTTATGTTTGATGGCTAGTGTCTGAGATCACTTAGTCCACTGCTGTCTTTGAATTCTGAGTAGGTTGTCTATGTTAGTGATGACTTGTCCGCATATATCCACATATCTCTACATAGCGTGCTATATGATATTGGGCATATATATAGTAAAATATATATGTATGTATATATATACATATATATATACATATATATGTATATATATACATACATATATATGTGTATATATATATATAATAACATAGTAAAAACTCGAGGGGCATTTGGAATGTTTAAAGGTGACCCAAGTGTATGGTACTAAATGACTTGGCTAGTTTAAATATCTGCTTTTTTGGGGGGGGGTGAGTCAGTGGGGTTAAGTGATTTGCCCACAGTCACAGTTAGTAAGTGTCAAGTATCTGAGGTCACATTTGAACTCAGATTTCCTAACTCCAAGGCTGGAGCTCAATCCATTGTGCCATCTAGCTGCCCCTAGTTTAAATATTTCTGAAAATCAAATATACTTTTCATGCTTACCATATCAAATATACCTAGCATAGTGTGATTCTGTAATGTTTAAAAATTGATGACTTGTGATACATTGATACGTCAGTCACTTGCGAACAGCCAACATGCTTCTACCTTCCCATTAAAAAAAATGTGTTGGAGCAGCTAGATGGTGCAGGGGATAGAGCAAATTGCCTAAAAATAAAAAAAAATTTTAAAAAAAGTGAATCTACCTAATAGTGCAATTTTTTTTTTGCTTTTTGGTGAGGCATTTGGGGTTAAGTGACTTGCCCAGGGTCACACGGCTGTTAAGTGTCAAGTGTCTGAGGCCGGATTTGAACTCAGGCCCTCCTGACTCCAAGGCCAGAGCTCTATCCACTTCACCACCTAGCTGCCCCATTTTTTTTCTTGTCTTTTTTTTTAGGCAGTTGGGGTTAAGTGACTTGCCTAGGGTCACACAGCTAGTAAGTGTCAAGTGTTCTGTCTGAGGTCAGATCCACTGTGCCACCTAGCTGCCCCTAGAGCAATTATTACATATTAGTATGGGTCATTTTCCATTTTTTAGTTTATCACTCATTATGTTTTGTTAACTCTACATAAAAGTTTGATCATTGTGAAAAAAGTCTACAATTTTGAAAAAAGGATGAATAATGTGATTGAGAACATCAACAATCATTTATTAAATGCCTTCTATGTCAGTCAACAAGTATTTATTAAGTGTCTGTCAGGCACTGTGGAAGGAGCTAGGGAGATACAAGTACGAAGAATGAAAATATTTTTCCTGGAAGTGAGCTTACATTCTCAGTGCTGGGAACTGTGCGAAGCATTAGGGATATGAATGAAAACTTAAAACTGTCCATGCTCTAAAGGAGCTTACATTTGACTAGAATAAATTAATAGACAGTTTTTACCAAAAATAGGAAGCATTCCAGAAGAGGGGCTTTAACCAAGAGAGAGATCAGGAAAGGCCCTTTAAAACAGATGGCAGTTGAACTGATCCTCTAAGAGAGCTATAGTTTTCTAGAGGTGAAGGTGAGAGAGCATTCTAGGTATGGGGAACAGTCTGTAGGAGATGGACGGTTGTGTTTGTTGTAGGGAACAAGAATTAAGCACCATATACTATGTGCTGGGTACTGTGCTGAGTGCTTTATGATAATTATCTCATTTGATCCTCATAATCCTGGGAGGTAGGTGCTGTTATTATTTCCATTTTATAATTGAGAAAACCTAGGTTAAGTGACTTGGCAGGTCATACAGTTAGTGTCTAAGGGCAGATTTGAACTTCGATGTTCCTGACTCTAGGCCCAGCACTCTCATTCTGGTAATTGGGATGTTTGAATTTAGAAATGAAGACTTAGATAGTTTTTCTTCCCTTGTTCAGTTCCTTCATTTAGTGTCAAATATCTTTTCAAATGAGTAGTTATGTGGTAACTGTGTCTGCACTGGAGAGGGGAAAGGTAAACCCATGAATAAGACTTACGTATCCAAGGGAGACTTATTAAAAGACTTTTTTTTTTTTTGGTTAGGCAGTGGGGTTAAGTGACTTGCCCAGGGTCACACAGCTAGTGAGTGTTATGTGTCTGAGGCCGCATTTGAACTCAGGTCCTCCTGAATCCAAGGTCGATGCTCTATGGACTGCGCCACTTAGCTGCCCCTTAAAAGACATTTTTTACAGCCAGTCAGGAGACAGGAGTGGGTGGTATAGTGCAGGCCTCTGACTCATATTGGGATTGTACTGTGGTGCAGCAGGTCTTCAGATGTGTTGATCTGTTCCAAAGATGATTTCCCAGGTTTTCCTTTGGTGTAGGAAAACTTCAATCTCTGTATTAGAGACGCTCCTTTTTTTGGGGGGGGGTGTCCCAGAATAGTTACTCCAAGGACAAAGTGTCTGCTCTGTTTGCTTTAATATCTGTGCTTTGGGACCTTTGAGCTTGGTAGTTGGTTGAGAATATTAATATTCCCTCATTTATTCAAGGTTGGTTAGCAAGGGAAATATAAAGATCTTGTATGAGATTGTCAGATATCATCGGGCTTTCTGGGCCCAGATGGACATTTTGTGTATGAGGTTATAACTGGGTAAAGAAGGGCGACCTTAGCTGGTTTTAGGGGTGGAAGCCAAAAGTAAGGGACATCTAACACTTAGCGAGTATATGCCAGTTCTCTGGCAGTTGCCAGGAGAATGGCCGTTTTTTTTTTTAGAGAGAATGGCCATTTCTTACTTGAGTGAGAAATCAAAACCTTATGTGTCTCTCCCTCCTCCCCCCATGAAATATTAACTCATTCCATTGGGGGTGACATGGCAAGGAGAAAATAAACTTCCAGTATACCAGATCTTAAAAGGGGGATAAAGGCCTTATTAATATAACTATGTAAAAACATATATGCATGCGGCTAGTCTATAGTAAGCAAAATTTGTTCGTTTACATTCCTCTAAGTGAGGGAAAGATAGCACTTGCTTTTAAAAGTTCTAAAAAACAACCATTGCCTTATACACATAATGCAAAGGGAATATAGAACTACAGCAGCCAGACATTATGGAAAACATTGCAGAAATAAAAGGTTTTTTTGTTCTACCACACTGGCCAGAGGTGATAAGAAACAGAGAATTGTTGATTTGATAAAATTAAGAAATAATCAGATTAGGGGAGGAAATGGTGAAGAGAGTTCAGAATGACTCCTAGGTTTTGAACCTGATTGACAGAGTAATTTTGGTGTCCTCAACAGGAAATACTGGAGTTAGGAGGAGAATGGTTTTAGGAGGAAAGATAATGATTGAGTTCTGTTTCAGGCCTGTTGTGGACCTTGGAGATGCCTATGGAGATATTAGGGTAGAGATGTCGAGCAGGTAGTTGGAAACTGTAGAGCAGGAGAGAAATAAGAATTGAATGTATAGATTTGGTAGTCATCTGCATAGAGATATTTGACTACTTTGGAGTTGTTGAGATCACGAGGAGAGAAAGTGTAGAGGGAGAAGAGAATAAGGCCCAGGAGTGAGTCTTCTACTGTGGAGCTAGGGCATGATCCTTCGCTAGAGACTGAGAAGGACTGGTCAGACAGCTATGAAGAGAGCCATGTCAGAGCAGTGTCACAAAAACCCAGGGAGAAGAGAGGAGGGAAGGCAGAAGGGAGGGAGAGTCAACATTATTAAGTTCTGCAGAGAGGTCAAGAAGAATTGAGCAAAGGCCATTGGATTTAGCATTGACAAAATCCTTATAGACCCTGAAGGGGCAGTTTCTGTTGAGTGGTGGGTCTGGAAGCCAGATTGCAAAGGACAGAGTAAGAGATGAGAAATTAAAGCCCGTGTTCAGGTTGTAAACTCTAGTAGAATGTTAGCTCCTGGAGGAGATATGCTTGTGTCTGGACTTTTAAATGTAAAGATGAAGGATGATATGTTGGGATCTTTAGGGTCAAGAGATTTTTTTAAACAAAAAATTAAATTTAACTTGCATTTACCAGCCTGACTCTTTAGGATATTATTATAGGTG